TGGAGGGACGACCGCCCCCACCCCCACCCCCACCTCCAGTATCCTCTCCTGTCCAGTGGCTATTGACACGAACATTTAATTCCTCCTGTGAGCTACTGCTTTCTTATCCTTTGGATGGTCGGCAAGTAAACTTCATGCAGATTTATTTTAGGCTGTGATTTTTTGAGATTACATTTAGTTGGAATCAGACACTACAACACAATAACCTTGTTAATGAAGAGGAATTGCCTATCAGCTTGAAGCTTTGAAATTTATTAGTGTTATAAGGAAGAGCGGGGCTGAGAAGTTCAAATTTTTTGTGGGAGAAAAAAGAAAGAAGAGAATTTTTAAAATAATTATGGGAAGAAGACTATGTAGTGATGTTCATCTTCACTGATACAGCTGACTTTTATTAAATATTTCCTACTTTAGTGAGTTATTATATGTAGTGTCTTATTTAATACTCATAATGATGCTCTGAGATAGAGTCTATAATTATCACCATTTTATATAGGGGGGAATCAAAGGCAGAAAAATTAAGTAACATGTCCAGGATCACACAGCTAATAACTGCAGGAGTTGAGATTTATATCCTGGAAGTCTGACAGCAAATCCAATGGTAGTGGTTATAACAGTATACCAAATCTCGTCATAGATATGCTTAAAAAAAATCCTCCCTGCCTTACTCAGTAATCTGTCACGAGGGAGGAGATATTAATCTGATGACAGCAAGCACTGTTAAGTTTTGTCCAGATTATACTGAAGCTTTGGGGTCCCTGTGGAGGTAAGTGGATTTCATACAGTAAAGTTTATGCCTGACAATTTTTATTTTAATGATGTTACATGCAAAGTGAGACTAATAGGACAGGAAGATCTATTAGCAGCTGGAGGGCTTCATTAGACATCTTAGCCCAAAGGATTGGTTCAGAAGCAAAATAATCCCATTTGTCAGGACTCTCTGAAAGGAAGCAGTCGAGAGACTGCCACCAGGGTTTCAGAGACATCAGTCAGGGACTTTTTGTTGCTCTTTTCTAGGTGGTAATCTAACATTCATGGGCAAATTAAATCATAGAGTTCGTTCATGAGACAGAAGCTAAGGAACAGAGGAAAAGCCACTCAGGAAAAAACAACAGCTGTTTTTAGAGTATCCTGAGCTTTTTTTTCTCAGTTCAACAGAAGACTGAAAGAAAACTTGAACTGGGAAAGTCTTAACCTTTGGAATATTTATGTGCTCGGAGTCACACTATGTTTAATGTAGTGGCAACTGTCATGGGCTATCACTGGAAACATTTTAACTAGTCCTTGTAGGCGTATGTGTGATTTTTTTTTCTGTCAAGATGGTTTAATGCCACACATCCTGGTATTTGAGGGGTATGTTTTGGTTTTGTTGTTGTTTTAATTGAAGTATAGTTGATTTACAATGCTGTGTTAGTTTCCGGTGTACAGCATAGTGATTCAGTTACATATTTATATATTTTTTCTTTTATCAAATTTTTTCATTATAGATTATTACAAGATATTCAATATAGTTCCCTGTGCTAAACAAAGGTGCTTGTTGTTTATCTGTTTTATGTGTTAGTAGTTTGTGTCTGCTAATCCCTAATTCCTAGTTTATCCCTCCCCTACCCCTTCCCCACTGGTAACCATAAATTTGTATTTTGTATCTGTGAGTCTGTTTCTGTTTTGTAAATAAGTTCACTTATGCCATTTTTTGTTTTTTCTAATTTGTTTTTAGCATACTGACTTTGCCCATTTCATCAAAAATAGGGCAACATCATTTTTTACTCTGCATGGTTTTCAACAAGTTTTTAGAATCATTCCTCAGTGTGATTCTTTTTAGGTTTTTTCCCTTATAAACCGTATCTGTCAGCATACCTCTGCAAACAGCTTTATGTGCAAATAATTCCTTTTGTCTTGGAAGTAGAGTTTCTGGTTTACAGGGTTACAAGGTTTAAACGCCATTTCACGTAGTTCTAAATTTGGACCAACCTGGGATCCACTTCCCTGTGCCTTACTAATACTAATACAGCGTGCCACCAGTCTTTTGATTTCCCAATCTAGTCACTGTAAAAAGATACTTTTTGGTTGCTTTCACACATTTCATTAATTAGTAGTGACGTCTAGTATCTTTTGAAAGGTTAGTTTCTATTTGTCAGTGAATTGCCCTTGCTCAGGTCTCTCTCAGTGAAGTAGGCATTCTAGCTTTCAGAGGCAAAAGCTAAAGCTGAAAGATGGCTTTTCAGTTAGAGACATGTGGACTCAAAAACAAAGCTCTGCCACATAAAAACTGTGAATTTGGGCAAATGAGTTGACCCCGAACATCGGTTTCTTTCTTTCTGTCTGTCTGTCTTTCTTTCTTTCTCTTTCTCTCTCTCTTTCTTTCTTGCTCTTGCATTTATTTAAAATTTTTTACATACATATATGTATTTTTTCAGATTTTTTTTCCCATTATATGTTATTACAAGAAATTGAATATAATTCCCACTTATACTGTGTGGCAATATAGTAGGTTTAGTTTTCAGAACCATTGGAAGGAGAGAGGAACTACCTTTCAGAACAGTGCTGAGGGTCAGTGGGTGATGTACATAAAGCTGCCATCAACACATGTTTGTTGTTGACTGACTACAGTGATCATGAGTCCTCTACTGAAAGAGAGGGGGTGGCAAAGGATGACACAGTGTGAGAGGTTCTGACTGGGGAACAGAGTAGTGAGTTGTCCTGGATGGGGGAAGGCCAGTGCACCTTTACAGCGGCAGGAGCTGCCAGGCTCAATCTGTGTGGTTTTCAGTCTTTGTGTTTAGACAGTTCAGGCAGGATCTTGGGGGCTCATAGCAGGCTCTGTGTGGATGGTGTGGCTCTTTCTCAGCCCTGAAAAATTGTACCAGAGAGAGGAGGAGCTGCTCAGGACAAGACCTAGGAATCCAGTGTCAGGACAGATCGACACTGCCCGATAGAGAACTGGCCAGAAACCCTCCCATTGAAGTATCTGGGCTTCGACACCAAGATCATCATTGTTCAGCTCAGGTTTATCGGGGCTTGGGTTTCTTCAGACTCCCTGTACTCTCTTCCAGTTTGGGTGTGGGGACAGTGGTGAGGAAAAGTTTAGAAGCAGGAAAGGAAGAGAAAAAAGCTCATCTAACATAAGTCATTTGGGGAACTCTGAGGCACATCTGGTCTCATGCCTGCTTTTTCTTCTTCCAGATCTGTCTTATCTGGACTCTGAAGTTCTCCAGCAGGGAAGTCTTAAAAAGGACTGACCAGTTCTTAAAGTTCAAAACAATGGCCCACGTAAGTTGATTCTTCTTCCTCCTTTTTGAAATGTTGCCAGTTTCTAGGCCATGTATACATTCCTTATCCTGAAACTTCCTCTAGCAGAGCTCCATCCAAGCACCCACTGCAGTTCCTCTCATTCCTGGGAGGGATAGGAACTGACAACCCAGTGTCCTCTTTTCCCTTTTTTCCACTAATGTGGACCATGTCCTGTCCACAGAATCTGTCAAGAACCACAAGAGCACAAAAGTGAAATGCCTTGAGAAAATGCAGGTATTCTGTGCAGAATATCCCCCCATTAACATTTTTCCTGTAGGACAGCTTTTGATTTTTTTTTAAAGTGTTATACCTTTATTTTATTTGTTTGTTTGTTTATTGACTTTCGGGGGAGGTAATTAGGTTTTTATTTATTTTCTTATTTGTTATTTTAATGGAGGTACTGAGGATTGAACCCAGGAGCTCGTGCATGCTAAGCAAGCGCTCTACCACTGAGCTACACCCTCAGCTTTTGATTTTAATACTTAGACATCAGAGAAAACATATTTCTCCGAGTACAGTGATTTTTGGCCTTGCTTTATATAGGAAAAATATATATCCCCAGTACACAATTTGACATCTTTTAAAAGTTTTTTGAAGTTTGCATTAACATATAACGTACTTGGAGTGAGCACCTGAGTGAATTTTCATAAGTTGAGCACATCTATGCTATCAGCACCCAGGTCAAGAAGGAAGATACTACTAGCATCCCCCCTTCAGTCACTCTCTCCCCACTCAGTCTAAATGTAATCACTATCACAACTTCAAACATCGTACATTAATTTTGCCTATTTTTAGAACTTTATGTAAGTGAAATTGTGTAGATGAAAGCAACTTTTTAAAATTTTATTTTATTTTATTTTGGGGGGAGAGGTAATTAGGTTTATTTATTTGTTTTTAGAGGCGTTCCTGAGGATTGAACCCAGGACCTTGTGTATGGTAAGCATATGCTCTACCACTTGAGCTATACCCTCCCCGCTGCAACTTTTTTTTTATACAAACAAATAAAAATGCAGTTTGTGGAGGGAGGTATAGCTCAAGTGGTAGAGCGCATGCTTAGCATGCATGAGGTCCTGGGTTCAATCCCCAGTACTTCCTATAAAAATAATAAACAAACAAATAAACAAACCTAATTACCTCCCCCCACCAAAAAAAAACTAAATTATAAAAAAAGTGCAGGATGTCTTGTTAGATTCCAGATACAGTTACTAGACCCTCAGAAGCACCTGCAGATGTTTTGCAGCACACGCAGGTGTCATTGAAGGGGGCATGTATATCTGGTGCAGCTGGTGAAAAGGGAGGCGTCAGCACCACACTGAGTGTGAGCCATTCCTACCGTCACGTTCCACCATGTTGGAAACATATTTTCATAATGCATTTTGCCTCTGTTTTTGTCATTTTGTAAAATGAACCCCTAAAAAGTCGGAAAAGTATTGAAGGAAATTGTGGAGAAAGAAACAAAGCAAATGAAAAGAAAAATTCAGTGAAAGAGACAATGAAAATACTAAAGCCAAAGATATCATGTGTGTGCTGTAATTCTGTACTGGGGGGAAATGTGAAGCTAGTTGAACTCCACAGACCTGAATTTTTTTAAGTATGTAAGATGAGATTTAGCACTGGGTGGCTTTAGTCCCTGCATGTGTTGAGATCTTACGGTAGGTAAGTTTAGGATTGGGTGGATTAGATAGGGATGTAACTGAGGCCTTGTGTTGTGAGGCCTAAAATTTCTTGTGCTGCCTTGATACCTTCTCAAGGCTCCAAAGACCTAACCACGAGTGTTAAAGTGTTGAGTGAGAGGTGGCGGATGGAGTAAGAAGGCCACCCAGATGCGTAAGTGATACGTAATGTAGAAGGTGAGCACTGAAACTTTGTAATGAACTTGAGTCTATTTTCTTAGTACATTTGGGAGAAATTTTTATCACTATTTTTTCATGATCACTAAAGGGAAAAGAAAGTAGAAGACGTGTTTCTTAAGAATTTGTGGTAGAGACACAGCTTGCAGAAGGCTTGTGAGCACTGTTTCATTTAATTGGGATTTTTTTTGATTATTTTATTCCTTTCCAGATATTATTTTTGGGTAAAAATTTAATCTTATCCACAGCCACAGGACTGTTCAAGACGTGTAGCACTCTGCTTCAGTGATACTAATTTTCTGACTGTCTCTTATGCATGTTACAAATTTTCAGCCCTACCTTTTTGGCTTGTTCTGTGCTCCCTCTCTGCAGTGCAGTCCTTGATCTCTCTTTCCATTTAAAAAATATGTCATTTATTCTCATAAGTAATATATGAGTTTTATTTTTTCAGGGTTCAGTGACATTCAGGGATGTGGCCATAGACTTCTCACAGGAAGAATGGGAGTTCCTGGACTCAGCCCAGAGGGACTTATATAGGGATGTGATGTGGGAGAATTATAGCAACTTCATCTCACTGGGTAAGACTGTTTATCCCAAATTATATTGACTTTCTCTACTGTCAATTTCAGGACTATGTTTTGAGAAACTAGATAAAAATGTTTCTCTCTGTTCCAAAGGAATGGTTTAAGCTTTGTTAGGTTGGAAATAGGCCCTTCCTTCTAATACTTCATCACTCTCATTTTGCTAAGCCCTTCAGACTTCCTTCAGGCTCTGTTATTTCCTTGTTTCCTTAGTATCCAAGGGGCGAGGTTTGAATTCTGGGTTGTTTCCAACAGAAGCACTGTTTAAGAAGCCAGATTTCGTATGGTATTTGACCTCAGGATTGACTTCTAATTCACCTGCCAAGGGGATACCTAGACACAGGGCTGCTGAGTCTCCTTAAAAACCAGAGGCACTGTAGAACTTATATAATATGAGGTGGATCCACAAAGTTCATTTAAAACTCGAGTAAATGCATTCTGTTTGCTATAACAGACATAGTCAATTCTGCTTGCTTTGTGGTTGAAAGTTAAAATCTAAGAGCTTTGCATTTAACATTAAATCAATGTCCTAGTAAGGATCTGAGGATGTCTCAGGAAGCCTCTTATTCTCCTCTCAGCAAATTGATAACAATAGAAATTAATAGCTAATGCACACAAATAATATGTGTATATATGCATATAACTGCATATATTTGTACTTAGGTACTATTCTGAGCATTGTACATTATTAATTAATCCTCACAACAACTTTATGAAAAATGTACTATTATCCTCATTTCAGAGGAGAAAACTTGGGCACTAAAGGTTAATAATTTGTTGCAGTAACACAACAACAAAGGCAGGATTTGAACTCAGGCAGTCTGGATCCATAGTCTGTTTTCACAACCATTACATATGACTGCCTCTCAACAGAGCTGGTATGAGTTTAAGTTGTTTTGAGGCCTGTTCTTAACCATCTGGTGTCTATTCCTTGTGGCCCTGAGGTTACCCTAATGAATGTCCTTCAGCTTGCTTGCATTTCTTTGCTCTTAGGACTTATATAAAGTGTTGTTTTGATCTATAGTTTATTATAAATTTAACCAAATCAGAACCTAAGGACTTCGGGGCTTATCATTGCGTGTTACATTATCTTTTAAGCAGGACCTTCCATTTCTAAACCAGATGAGATTACCTTATTGGATGAAGGGAAGGAGCCCTGGATGGTTGTCAGGGAAGGGACGAGAAGACTCCACCGTGGTGAGTGAGGGCTGAGCAGGCATGGGAAAGTCATTACTATAGGTAGTGGCCAAGCTTGTTAAGATAGAGACATACCCTTGAGATGTTGTTAGGGATCTCTCTTTAAAATCCCATGGCCTGTGGAGGAGAGACCTGAGGCCTGGGAAGCAAATTAAAATCTTTTAAGCCTGGGCCAGCAAGGGCGCTTCCTACTGGCCTTGATTACAGCTCTCATATTTTTCTCCTGTTTCAAAGAGAGAAACTGTTCTCAGTAGAAGAAAAAAAAATGATAATAAATATAAGAGCTGAAATCAACCAAATAGAAAAAGAAGTAGAATTCATAAAGCTTAAAGTTGAGTTCTGGAAAAGATCCGCAAAACTGGTGAACACCAGCTTGACTAATCGAGAAAAAAAGAGAGACAACATAAATTACCAATACCAGGAATGAAAGAGAGGTTTTCACTTCACATGTTATAGCCACTGAAAGAATAATGAGAGAATACCACAAATAACTTCATGCCAATAAATGTGACAACTTAAATGAAATGGAAAAATTTCTTGAAACCAGAACTGACACAAAAGAAAATATGAATAACCTCATATCTATTCAAGTTAATTGAGTTTATTATCTAGAGTATTTTCACAAAGAAAACTCCAGGGCTGGACGGTTTCCCTGGTGAACTCTTACGTATTTAAGGAAGAAATAGCAGCAGTATTACACAGATTCCTTCAGAAAAGGAAAGAATTCCTCCCAACTAATTTTATGAGGCTAGCACAACTCATATACTATGGCCTCACAAAGAGATTACCAAAGGGGAAAAAAATTATAGACTTATTCCTTCATAAATATTGATATAAAATTCTTTTTTTTTTAATTAAAAATATTCTAATGGAGGTACTGGGGATTGAACCCAGGACCTCATGCATGCTAAGCATGCACTACCACTGAGCTATACCCACCCCCTAATACAGAAGTCTTAACAAAATATCAGCAAATCAAATCCAGCAATATATAAAAATGATGACCAAGTAGGGTTTATCCGAGGAAATCAAGCTTAGTTTAACATTCAGAAATTAATCAGTGTAATTCACCATATTAACAGAAATGTGAGAAACCATGTGATCATCGCCATAGATATAAAAATAGCATATGACTGAATTCAGTGTCCACTCATGATACAAATTCTCAGAAAACTAGAAATTGAAGGAAACTTCCTTAACCTGATAAAAAGCACCTTAACCTACATCATAAACTTTATCATACTTGATTGAAGAGCTTCCCTCTAAGATTATGAACAAGACAAGGATGCCCAATCTCCCCATGTCTATTTAACATTGTACTGAAGGTCTACCATTGCAATAAGGCAAGAAAAAGAAAGTAGAGACTTTATATAAAGCTCAAAATGGAAGAAGTAAAGCTATTTGGAAATGGCATAATAGTATACTTAGAAAATCCTAAGGAATCAAAACAGCTCCTCAATGTAGTAAGTGAAGGTCACAGTAAGATCACAGGATACAAGGTTAAGCTACAAAAATCAACTGTGTTTTTGTATACTAAGAGTGAAAAAAATTGGAAAAGTAAAGTTAATTAAGAAAAATTAAAGTAAATTAAATCAATTTACAATAGTGTAGAAAACAAAATACTGAGGAATAAATTTGACAAAGTGTGCAAAACCTCAATTATAAAAACCATGGAACGTTGCTAAGAGAAATTGAAAAAGACCTGAATAAATGGACAGATACCATTGTTGGGCTGGGGACACAGTACTGTAAAAATGTCAATCGTGTAGATTCAGCACAATACCAGTCATAATCCTAGGAACCTTTTTTTTTAAACATTAATAAGCTGATTCTAAAATTTATATGGAAAAGTGATGGACTTAGCATGTCTAAAATAATCTTGAAAAAGGAAGGTCATATTATAGAACTTAGACTACATGACTTCAAGGTACTTCAAGATAATGTTATAAAACTGTAGTAATCAAGACATTGTGATATTTGCTAAGGGTCAGCATACAGAACAGAGACCCTGGATATAGACCTCACATGCGCTTAAAGGGTCATTTATTTATTGACAGAGGCACCAAAGCATTCCAGTGGGGAAAGGAAAGTCTTTTCAACAAATGGTGCTGGAATAACTGGAAAAAAATCTCAACCTCTACTTCATACCAGAATTAATTTGAGATGGATTTTAGGCTTAAATATGAAAACTAAACATTAAAAAAATGTAAAAATCCAAATATAAAAGCTAAATATAAAAAATAAAAAATTTTAAACTAAATATTTTATATGTAAAAATATAAAAGCTAAATATAAGGCTTTTAGAGGAAAACGGGAGTGACTTGGTAGTAAGGAAAGGTTTCTTAGGTGACAGCAATAACTGTAAAAATTAAAAACTGATAAATCATAATTTATCAAAATTTAAAATGTTCATCAAGATATACCAATAAAAAATGAGTAGAAAAGTCACAGACTGAGAGAAAATAGTAGTAAAACAAAGGGCTAGCATCCAGTCTGTACACTACAACCACTATAATGATAAACAGCCCAATTAAATAAGAGTAAAAGGTACATCCATACCATGGAATAATACTCAGCAACAAAAAAGGAATGCGTTAATTAATACACACAACAACTTGGGGGAACCTCAAGGAGATTATGCCGAGTGAGAAAAACCAGTCACAAAAGTTTATTAACTGTATGACTCCAGTTATCTAATATGTATGAAACATTAAAGTTATAGAAATGGAAAATGGATTAGTGGTTGCCAAGGGTTAGGAATGTAGCGAGGGAGGAGATCGTTGGGGCTATAAGGGAGTAACTCAGGGGAGTCTTGTGGTTCTGGTATAGTTGAGTATCTTGATTGTGGTGGTGATTATGCAAGGCTTTACATGTGATAAAATTGCACAGAACTATACACATACACACATGAGGGCATGCATAGCTATACTAAGGGTAAGTTCTTGGTTTAAGTATTGCACTATAGTCTGTAAGATGTTAACATTGAGAGAGGCTGGGTGAAGGGTGCAAGAGACTTTCCTATACATTTCTTTACAACATCCTGTGAATCTACAGTTACTTCAAAATAAGTAAATTAACCTATAATGAAAAAGAATATGAAAAGGAATATATGTATGTATATGAATGACTGAAATATTATACTGTATACCAGAAATTGATACAACATTGTAAACTGACTATACTTCAATAAAAAAAAGAGACTGTGATTGATAATATCCAAAAAAAGTAAATTAAAACGTCCTATTGAGGGTGATAGTTAAAAAGATTTGAACAAAGAGAGGGGCTACTTGTTTTCTTGATCAGTGACTACAGTTCATCTATATCTGAATGTATATTAGGCAGCTCAGGCTGCTGTAACAAAATACTATAGACTGGGTGACTTAAACAACAGGAATTTGCTTTCTCACAATTCTGGAGGCTAGCTGTCTAAGATTAGCCTTTTTGGGCCTGATAAGGGCTCTCTTCCTGTCTTGTGGATGGCCCCTTGTCACACTGTCCTCACATGGTGGAGACAGAGAGAGAGCTCTCTCTTCCTCCTCTAAGGCCACTAGTTCTGTCCTAGCCTCGCCTGGCCCAGCCTAGCCCATCCTTTCCACTAGTCTGTGAATTAGGACCCCACTCATACTACTTAATTTATCCTTGGTTACCTCCTAAAAGCACTGTCTCCAAATACAGTCATATTGGCGGTTGGGCTTAAATATATAATTTTGGAGGGACTTATTTCAGTCCATAGCAATATCTACATGGGGTCCAGTTTCTTTTCTGTCTTTATTTTGAATAGTTTATATACACACTGATATGATTTGATTAGTTTATATATGTATGCTTGCCTAAAAATATACTTGTTCATTTATTCAGAAAATACTTGAGTTCCCAATCTGAACCAAGCACTGTGCTAGACACCAGTGGAACAATTGTGAGCAAGAGTGGTAGGTCCCAGCAGTCTTGTTTACATTTTAATAGGAGTAAGGACATTAAGGAAAAAGGTAAATGAATAAATAGTATTATATAGTGACAAGTTTGATTAAGAAAAGGGGGAAGAGCAAGGGATAGAAAGTGGCAGGTGTAGATAGGTTTGTCATATGATGGCTGGGGCTTTTTGAAGAGGTGATATTTGAGTGGAGACATGAAAAAAGATCTTGGACCATATGAATATCTAAAGCAAGAACAGTCCTAACAGAATAGTAAATGCAGAGGCCTTAGGTTGGAGGGATAAAAACTGTGTTTTTGAGGAATAGCAAGAAAATCAGGATGATTAGAATGATTATTCAAAAGGTAAATGAGAAGTAGGATAACAGGATGAAGTCAGAAAGTTAGGCAGGGACTAGATGATGTAAAAGTTTGTGTGTCATAGGGGAAGGTGTGTGACTTTTAAGTGTGATTGAAAGCCATTGGAAATTTTGGAGCAGGGGAATGACATGAGCTGATTTGTCTTAGAATTATCACTCTGTGCAGAACAGGTTGAATATGGGCAAGCTAAATAGTAGGGAGACCTATTAAGAGGCTACTTCATTTGTCCCAATGGAATATGATAGTAGTTTTGATTAGAGTGGTGGTGGTGGGTGGTAGGTGTTAGTGTCATGGCGGATTTGCCCAGCATGTGCTGGGCTGCTCCTCTGTCTGCTTACTCTCCCCATCTCGCTTCAGCTCCCCAGTAGCCTTCACAGGGCTGCCCCCATGAGGGCACGTGTCCTCTTTACCCAGATTGGACTCCTCACATAGCCTCCTTCTCCTGATGTGGATAAGGAGCATCTTTGTCTTTTAATTGATGTATTTTATCCATCTGTAGTTAAGTAATTTTCTTATATATTTAGATTTGAATCTGCTATCTTCCTAATTTTTTGTTTGTAAAACCTGTTCTTTCCTCCTTTTTTCCCACTCCTCCCCTTTTTTTTGGATTAATCAAGTATTTTTATCTTAGCTTTTGCTCTTGAGTATGTCATTTATACATGTATTTTTCATAGTTGCCCTAGAGAGTCACACATGCATTCTTTACTTACTGCATTGTATCTTAAATTAGTTCCTTTGTATCTTTCCCAACACTGTAGAGATGCTAATAACATTCTAATTCCTTTGATGTACCCTCTACTTTTTTGTACTGTTATTGTCAGGTATCTTTTTAAAAATTTTCATCTTTTTATTTATTTGTTTTTGCTAGGGTGGCTAGGTTTATTTATTTAATTATTAGTAGTATTTTTAATGGAGGGACTGGGGACTGAGCCCAGGACCTTGTGCATGCTAGTTGTGCACTCTACCACTGAGCTATACCCTCCCTCCTGTTGTCATGTTTCTTAATTCTATCTACATTTATATCCCCACAGAGTATTAATTTACATTATGTTGTGAGTATTCACTTAGATTTACCTATGTACATAACCTTTTACAGTGCTCCTTATTCTTTTCCGCATTGTAGTTTTTATCTAGAATCATTTTCTCTGTCCCTGGAGAACTTCCTTTAGTGATTTTTTGTTTGTTTGTTTTTTTGTTTTTTGTTTTCATTTTATTGTATGTGTATTTTTATTGAAGTATAGTCAGTTTACAATGTTGTGTCAATTTCTGGTGTACAGCATTATACATAAGTAATACATGAACATACATATATTCATTTTCATATTCTTTTTCACCATAAGTTACTACAAGATATTGAATATAGTTCCTTGTGCTGTACAGTACTTTATTTAGTATTTCTTATTGTACCTGCTGACAATGAATTCTCTTTAGGTTTTATTTGAAAATATCTTTATTTTGTCTTCATTTTTAAAGGGTAGAGAATTTTATTGTTGTTGTTGGGTATGAAATTTTGGATTGGCAGTTACTTTGTTAGTAGATGTCCTCTTGGCTTCTGGTTTCTGCCATTTTCATTGAGTAGCAGCTTGTCAGTCATGTTGTAACTTGTTGGAGGTATTGTCTTGGAGGCATCCTTTTCCCCATAACTGCTTTTGGAATTTTCTGTTTTATTTGGTTTTCACAGATTTATTGTGGTGTATAGTTTTATGTTGTAATGTATATATTCTGCTTGAAGTTTTGAAATAAAAAAATTAGATCTGATATCTTATCAGTAATATTGTTTCTTTTTCATTTTTGCTCTTCTCTTTTCTGGGACTTGAGTTACACATATGTTAGACATGTTTACATTGTCTTGTGTATCTTTTCTGGTTTTTTTTTTCTGTTTTTCTTTTTCTCTTATTTATTTTTAATCTTGTGTGTCATCCTTGATATCACCTCTAAACCCATTTCCTAGTTCAGTGATCTTCTACTATGTCTAATCTTCTATTAAATTTTTAATTTTAGTTCTTGTATTTTTCAGTTATAAGAATTCTGTTTGAATATTTTTAATGAATTCCACTTCTGGTTAAATTCTACATCTTGTATCTGTTTTCTTGGAATATTAATCAATGTTTTGGACTAGCTTGGGTCTGTTTCTATTGTCCATTTTACCTCTTGGTTTTTTAGTCATTTTTTTCACCAGTTGTTTATACCTGATTATTTACAGTTGGATTCTAGACATTATGTTTGAAAAATTTTAGAGGCTCTGAATAATACTGTTTCTGAATCACATATTGTCTTTCTTCAGAGATGATTTACCTCTGGTAGGCATACAGAGTATGGGCTGATCAACTTCCTCTATTCAAGAACAGTCTGTTTACTGCTTGTTTGCAGCCCTTCTGGGGTCTCAGCTGAAAGTCTGGGATGATTATGAGGACCTTTCTCTTTAGGGGGATTCTGAACTCCAGTGTCTTTCTCCCCAGTGCTTTGAGACTGCCAGAATCTTTACCTGGACTGTTAGCCTTTTAGAAGTTACTTTCTTGACCATGATTGATGCTCAGTTGAAGAGTCGGCAAATACCTCAGGAAATTCCATGTGGAGTGTTGGCTTAATTCATGTTTGCTTTCTCTCTAGGACCTTGGCCCCAGGAGTCCTGGCTGCTTTGGTTGTCCATTAGTGTCATCAGACAGTTTCTATTTTAATTAACCATTTCAGTTGAAAAAAAAAAAAAGACTATTGTGTACTTGGGGTTTGTTATTCGATAGTAAGTAAACAGAATTGTTTATGCTACGGGGAAAACTTAGGGGTAAGAAACTAACATTAATTAATTAATATGTTATTAATAAATCAATGAGAAAATCAATACAAATGTTATTCCAAAATTGGGAAAAGTGTTATAAAGAAAAGAAACAGGTTGCTGGGACAGAGCATAATGTGCATAGACTTACGTAGGATCAGCAAGAATAGCTTTTCTGAAGATGTGACTTTTGACTTGAGTCCAGAGGATGGAGAGAAGCCAACCATGCCAAGTCAGAGGATTTCTTAAAGTAGGAGCAGCCTGTGAACAGTCCCATTTAATGGCAACAGTTGTAGTGCATTTTGTGAGCTGAAAATGGGCCTGTATGGCATGAACAAGAGAAAGTAGGAAAGGATTTGATAAGCAGAAGCCTTATTATCCATGCTCAGGTATTTATATGTTATTCTAATTGTAAAAAGAAATCATTGAAAACATTTAAATAATCAGTAGAAAACATTTAACAGCAGTAGGGTCATTTATTGTCGAATATAAATAACAAAACAGAAACACGCCCAGGACCTAGGCCTGTAGATTCTGTTTCAGCCAGGTAAACATACCTCTGTATAGTTTTAACAGATCTTCAGGTGATTCTTATCCATGCTTAAACCTCCACTGATTTGACTTGCTTCCCTAATCACCAGCCTCACCTCCATTCCTGGACTCGTTATTCTCTGTGTTCCCTTTGCCCTTTTTTTGAAGTGCATGAGAATACAGTCTGTTCCATAATATAGTTAATAATCCATAATACAAATAGGCTTAATAATGATATGAAAGCAGAAATGATATCAATATAATGTGGAACTTAGCTATTTCACAGGTAATTTTTCTAGTTGAATGGTGCCAGAATAGTAGAAATGTATTGATCACATTCAGCAGGACAGGGAGGAGCCTTGTTTGATGCTGTATCACTAAGAGCCCTTTCACTGATATATTAAGAAAATTAATATTAAATGCTTTCATCCAGGGCTCCCTCCCCAGACACACATACCATCAGCCTTGCAAGGCTGCTAGCCGTTGACAGGGTACACTTCATCCTCTTCCCACCTTAACGGTAACCTCACTGGCTCAGGACTTAATTTTCACGTACAATGGCTCAGCACCTGAAATCCAGCATTTCCACTTTATTTTTGGTGCATCTTAGTACCCATGAAGCAACCTTCAGCGATGCTGGGCTGCCTTTTGGTTATCTCATGTGGTATCAATGAATATATTTGTTAGTGCTCTACCAGTAAAGCTGCATAGGTTTCAGTGGTCTTCTCCAGCCCTATTTTCCTCATAAAATCTAATTGTCAGTGTGTAATTTTGCATAGGATAGGTTTTCTTTAGGTGCAAATGTGTGTTATTGTAACAGAAATGCCTGTCTTCTTGAGCTGTCCAGTCCATTCACTGGTAGTAGCCATTTTTTAGGTGCTTTTTATTTCTGTGTAGAAATTTCCTTCTGGAACAGGAAAACAGCATGTGTTTGCTTTCTGGCTTTCTTTCAGGTTTGGAATCCAGATACAGGACCAGTATTTTATCTTCAGAAAAGGACATTTATGAAATATGCTCATTCCAGTGGGAGCTAATGGAAAGAATTAAAAGCTGTAGCCTTCAGGACTCCATTTTTAGAAATGATTGGGAATGCAAAAGCAAGATGGAGGGGCCGAAGGAACCACAGGAGGGCTATTTTGGGCAAGTGAAAATTGATTCTGAAAAAATCGCTACTTACAAAAGGCATAATCTTCTTGCTGAATATCAGAGAGTTCATAATGGAGAAAAGTTATATGAATGTAAGGAATGCAGGAAGACATTTATTCGTCGCTCAACACTTAGCCAACACCTGAGAATTCATACTGGTGAGAAGCCTTATAAATGTAAGGAGTGTGGGCAGGCCTTTAGACAGCGTGCGCACCTTATTAGACATCACAAACTTCACACTGGCGAGAAACCCTATGAATGTAAGGAATGTGGGAAGGCCTTTACAGTCCTCCAAGAACTTACTCAACATCAGAGACTTCATACTGGGGAAAAGCCGTATGAATGTAAGGAGTGCGGCAAGGCCTTTCGAGTACATCAGCAACTCGCCCGGCACCAGAGAATTCACACTGGCGAGAAGCCCTATGAGTGCAAGGCATGTGGGAAGACCTTTAGACAGTGTACACACCTTACTCGACATCAGAGACTTCATACTTCTGAGAAGCTCTACGAATGTAAGGAATGTGGGAAGGCCTTCGTATGTGGTCCAGACCTTAGAATACATCAGAAGATTCATTTTGGTGAGAAACCCTATGAATGTAAGGAGTGTGGAAAGGCTTTTAGAATATGCCAGCAGCTTACTGTCCATCAGAGTATTCATACTGGTGAGAAACCCTATGAATGTAAGGAATGTGGGAAGACTTTTAGACTAAGGCAACAACTTGTTCGCCATCAGAGAATTCATACCCGTGAGAAACCCTATGAATGTATGGAATGTTGGAAGACCTTTAGTAGTTACTCACAACTTATTTCACATCAGAGCATTCACATTGGTGAGAGACCTTATGAATGTGAAGAGTGTGGGAAGGCCTTTAGACTGCTTTCACAACTTACTCAACATCAGAGCATTCATACTGGTGAGAAACCCTATGAATGTAAGGAATGCAGAAAACCGTTTAGACTGCTCTCCCAGCTTACTCAACATCAAAGTATTCATACTGGTGAGAAGCCTTATGAATGTAAGGAATGTGGTAAGGCTTTTAGACTTTATTCATTTCTAACTCAACACCAGAGAATTCATACTGGTGAGAAACCCTACAAATGTAAGGAATGTAAGAAGGCCTTTCGACAACATTCACACCTTACTCAACATCAGAAAATTCATAATGGAATTTAATACAGGAATGTGTTCAAGGGCACATTATGTTACAAAACATCAGAAAATTCATTTTTGAATAAATTTGTTTCATGGTCACAACTAAGCATAAGAAAACTTTATATTATAGGAAAGAAATTATTGATTTAAAACCTTCTACCACCATTTAAACATTATTTATCTTTAGCAAATTTATATGAGAAAATAATATAATGAATGCAGGAAAATCTTTAGCCTTACCTATCATTATCGCCATTTTGCTACTTTATTATTGGTGTGTTATTGGACAAGGTACTTAAATTTCTGTGCCTCATTTTGCTCACTTGTAAAATGGTGATAGTAGTAGCTATGTATATTAGTTATTTATTGCTGTGTAGTAAATTACCACAAACTTAGTAGCCTAAATTAATGCACATTTATTTTTTCAATTTCTATGGGTCAGGAGTCTAGGCATAACTTAGTTGGGTCTCCTGCTCTAAGGTCTCTCATGAGGTTAAAATCAAGGTTTCAGTCAGGGCTGAATCTCATCTGATGGCTCAAGTAGGGAAGGGATCCACTTCCAACCTCATGTGGTTGTTGGCTGAATTCATTTCCTTGAGGGCTCTTGCACTGAATTCTTCAGTTTCCAGCTGGCTGTAGGCTAAAGGCTGATCTCAGTTCCTTGCCACAAGGGCCTCTTCAACCCAGCTGCTTACTTCATCAAAGTATGTAAGGCAAGAAAGCGGTAAGAGTCTGCTAGCATCATGGAAGTTATCGTCTTGTGTGATATGATCACTAAAATGACATTTCATTGCCTTTGCTGTCTTCTGTTGGCGAGAAGCAAGGAACTAGGCTGCCCTACACCCCAGGAAACAGGCTTGCCCATGAGTATGAATACCAGGAGAGAGGGACCATTGGGGCCAACTCAGAGTCAGCCTGCTACTTTGTGTAATAGAATTGTTGTGAGGATTGAGTAGTTGATACTTGGAAAAATAGCCACATAGCATGTTTTCTGTAAATATTATCTATAATTGTTATTAACATCATTAGTATTAGTGAATTCATATGAAAGGAATATCCTGTAGAAGTAATCAATGTAGAAATGCCTCCTGTCACTGCTCGGCACTTACTAAACTTAAGATAATTTATTCTGGATAAAGTCTAGGATGTTAAATGACTTCCTAGACTTGAGTGTGAGAAGTAACTCATCACTTGAGCTGCATCAGAAATTTCACACTGAAAAGAAACCTTATGAATTTCATAAAGATGAGATTGTTAAGAGTTCAACTGTTGGAGAATCAGAGAAACATGAAATTATTTTCCCATAATAAATTCCAAAGAGCTAACGTTTTGTAATCCCTGTTGTCTGACCACCATCAAGATTAATTAGAAACTATCAAAAAGATGGCAAAAAGGAAACTAACCACTTGGGAGTTGAATATTGTGTGTGTGCATGTTTGTGTGTATAAAACTCTTTTTAAAAGAAAGAAACATTCCATTACAGCCAGTATAGTTTTTGTCGCTCAGATTGCCCCACTGTCCACCACTGAGAATTGGGTCTTTTGTCATGACCCCAGTTGTAGTTTGTTAGTTTACTTGCTTATGGCTGCACAGTTCGGTCAGCCATGGAAGATGCATGGGCATCAGCTCATCATTCTGAAAACCAGTAAATAAAGGGGAAAATAAGTATTTATTTTACTTTTATGTGAACCAAGTTTCAGGGTCACCCAAAGCACATCAAATTAAAAAAAAATTTTTTTTGATTCAAAGAATCTCACCAGTAAATACAGAAAAAATGATAGACTTAGAAACTACTCATCATTTTCATCATTTTCTAGTTCCTAGTGGAATAATGAGTCCAGCAAATGATCTTCAATGGATATTAAAACTATTTGGTGAAAGAGTTTATAGTGAGAACTTTATGTTGGACTTACCAAGCTGACCACGGCTGAGCCCTCTGATCAGTTTTAACCTCTATAAAAGTGGGACTTGTTAGACAATACGTGTCTCCTGATACAATGCAATGGAAAGTGCACACCCCCACCTGTGAAGCCCTGTTGCCACAATAATGAACCGAAGGAGTCAAACCTTTAAAAAAATTTTTAATCCAAGAATTTGGGGAATAGTTGAACAAAGCAAGTGGTACCACAAGGAAGCAGCAAAGCAGATCCAGAACGTGTAAAATTCTGCAAAACAAATGACCTGATTTCTTCAACTAATGAGTGGCATGAAAAAGACGAAAAGACAAGAAGGACGCTGTCAACAGATTAAAAGAGACTTGAGAGACATATCACCTAAATTCAGTAGGTGGGCATTACTTGGACCTAGACTGAACAAAATGTAAAAAGACATCTTGGAGACCGGGAGAAATGTGGGCATGCCCTGAGTATTAGGTGATATTTAGAAATATTAGTTTTGTTAGGAATGATGATATCAGTGTGGTTATTAAGAAATAAAAGATGCTATGTGTTAGAGATACGTGCTTCCATATATAGGAAAAGATAAGATACTCAGATTTGTGTTAAAGTACTCCAGCAAAAGCAATAGAATTGACAAAGAGAGCTAGAGAGTAGATTGGCAAAATGCTGATAATTACTGAAATAGAGTGGTTTATGGGGGTTCGTTGTCCTTAATATTTCTACTTTTTAAAATGTGTTTGAAAGTTTCAATAATAAAATATTTAAAATCAAAACTGATGCTATACACTATTTAAGAAATGACTGTTAATGTGATGCCTGCGGAAGTCATTAAAATTCTATTCAGTGAGAAACTCATGCCCCTGAATGCACTAAGGAAACTTTGTTTGGGCTCAGTCTTCATCTTCTTCACTCATCCACAGCAGTCAGTACTGGGCATGTCACACAGACGAGTACGTTAAAAGAATGAATAAGCATTTATGTCAAGAAACCAGAAACAGAGCAAAATAAAACCAACACAAGAGAAGCAAAGTACAATAGAATTTAAGAGACTAGATACTAGTAGATTTGATCCAAATGTTAATGACTATGTCTTGGCAGGTCTAATCGAGGAAAAGAAAATAAATACATTAAGAGCATTAACAATGATAGCGACATAGTTACAGATTATCAAGAAAATTTTCTTTTAATTATAGGCTAACACTATTTATATGTACCGTGTGTATTCCAATACCTGTAAAAATATAGAGGAAAACATTTTCTTCTCTAAGAATCTGTTATCACAATTGACTCTGCTCTAGGACTCAGAAAGACCAACAGACAAGTATGTGTGTGTGAAATTCCCGTTTAAGGAAAAAAATATGATAGTTGTACATGTAAAAGCCTTAAGAAATACATAATCCTCAGAGGGATTTTACCAAGTAATTTTGCACAGCAGAAGTAATCCTGAGCAAAACTAGATGAAGATAGCGCCTAAAAATCCAAATCTAGACCAGCTTCATTTATGAAGATTCTGTTCTTCATAATTCTCAATAGTTGAATTTAGAAAATCAGTCTTCACTAATAGGTTAGTGTTTTGCTTTTCCCAAGTACTAGAGATTTCCAGAAGACCTGTGTTTAGCATTGCTTAAGGCCTTAACCCAACACTCCCCACAAGTTTGTTTCAGGGAATACTAGTCCTTGATGATATTTGGGGGAAAAAAAAGATTTCTTGGGAAAAAGTATAAATGAAACAAAGGATAAAAATTTACTTTATATCTACGTACACTTTATCAGCTTGTCAAAAGATATATTAAAGAAATTTTCATTGAACACAGTGTATCTCAAACTTCTTGTGCAAGTCTCACTCGAGACTTTTAATCTTTTAATACCTATAGAATGTGAACCACTTTGGTAGATGGTACCAGAATCACAATGCTTGTCTTCAAGGATGTCATTTCAGATATTCTGGTGAGTGAGCGTGCCGGGAACGGGTGAGGAAGGGCACCTTCCTTTGCAGCTTATGTCCTAGTCAAGGCAGCTCCCTGGCTGGATGGAGGGCTGGTGCTTTTCTATCGCATTGAAAAGATTCCCGCTTGGTCCTTGATAATGTATATATTAAACATGCTTAAATATTCTATTAAACAGTGATTGAGACATAAATGATTTTTCATTGTAATAAAAATGCTATATTGAATACCATTTTGTGTATCTTCCTGTTTCTTTAGAAAGTCAAGACTCTCAAAGATACATCAAGAAGATACTTTGTTTCACATAGTGCCAGTTTGTTGCTCCATCATCGTACCAATTTTGAATCCCTTCGGTTACTGGATATGTGTCCATATTTCCCTGATTACAAGTGAATTGATCACATTTTTTCCTATGTGTTTATTGACCAGTCATGTTTCCCTTAAGGTGCGTTTTTATTCATGCATTTTCTCTATTTCTTTTTAGCTTATCTCATTGATTTTTTTCAGAATTCTTAAAATAATCCATGTATTAATCATTCCAGGTATTATACATTTATAAATGTTGGATTTATTTTCTCTCAAGGTGGCTTATGTTATAACTGTACTATGGTGTTTATTGTTTTGCTAACATTTTAAGTTTAGATATAGTTATTTATTTTTTCCAGTTTTATTGAGATATAATTGACATACAGCACTGTATAAGTCTAGGGTGTACAACGTGATGATTTGACTTACATCATGAAATGATTATCACGCATAGTGAATATATATCTTGTATAGAAACAAAATTAAAGAAATAGAAAAATTTTTTTTCTTGTGATGAGAACTCTTAGGATTTACTCCATCAAAAACTTTCATATATAACAGAGCAGTGTTAATTATAGTTTCAAATAGTTTACTATTTCAGTAATTTTAAAGTGAACATCTTCAGGCTGCATCTTCTGCATGGGTTTCCTTGAGATGAAAGCAAAAAAAATCCAGCTTTAGGCATGTTGTTAGTTGCACGGGTCCTTACATAGTAGCAAAACTGCTTTTGAAAATAAGTGTTTTCCTTGAAAAAATAAAAAATACACTTGCATTTGGTAAAACTTTAAAATAAAATGAAACGGTCCATGATGAAATGTAAATCTCTATAGCACATGAGATTTTTTTTTTAATGGAGATACTGGAGCTTGAACCCAGGATCTCATGCATGCTAAGCATATGCTCTACTACTGAGCTATTACCCTCTCCATCAGGTGAGACCTTCTATAGCTCCCATCCCAGAGGCAGCCACTATTAAAAGTTTCTTGGGTACCCTGTTAGAAAATATCAGTGCAGTGTCATTGTATTTGTAAAAATCACTGCATATGAATATACTTCATTACTGTAATAGTTAACATGGTATTCTGTTGCACAGATGAATCACAGCATAGACAGTCTTTTAGTTATATGCTTTTTGGTTATTTATTGACTTTTTAATTTTAAACCATTAAAAATTTTTTTGACCTATGACAACTGCAACATTTTATTAAGAAATTTTTTTTTACTATTATTGAAGTACCATCAGTTACAATGTGTCAATTTCTGGTGTACAGCACAATGTCCCAGTCATGCATATACGTACCTATATTTGTTTTCATTTTTTTCATTAAAGTAAACCATTAAAATTTAAAACTATTAGGGGTGAAATTGGAAGGTCAAATTATATGTACATGCAAAATGTTGAGATATGAAATAATTGAATTTCCTGACAGGATATTATGAGAATGCTATTTTTTCTTACAACAACCAGGTTAATCATCATAATTTTCACTTCCAGATCAGTGGAATCATTGTTATGATTCCTAGTGGAAGCATTCCTCACTTTGGAACTAAGATCTCCAGGCCAACAGAGAGTAAGTTCACAGGAAATAGAAGCAAAATTGTTCTTGGGACAATAGGGGTAATAGTGAGGGGTTCCACTCCTATTTCTGCCCCTGGACCAGTGAATCCTGTTGGAAAACAGCACTGTGTATTTGGACACTGATGGAGAGCATCATGCATCACCTCCTATCTAGTGCTGTAATTGAGTCTTTTATATATATATATATATTTTTTTTTCTTTTCATTGAAGTATAGTCAGTTTACAATGTTGTGTCAGTTTTGCAATTGAGTCTTCAAAAGGCCATCCTACCGTTCTGTCACACAGGTGCTTCAGGACGGTGGTAAGACCAGAGAATTTCGTGAGCCTGGACCCACTGCTGCACTTCCTTTCCTGGAACGTGAGCTCCTTGATCAGAGGCGATGCTGTGCGGGACGCTATGGTGATTCATAGTGCATTTTCTAAGTCCGTGCATGGTAGTTTTAACAGAAGCATTGTGTGCACAGAAAGCAAATTCGTGTTCAAAGTGTCTGTTACAGTGAGAACAAAATGCTGCCCCTTCCATGACGGAAGCCATCCAGTGTGATCAACCTGCCACCAGACAACTGGCCGATCACCCCCAGGGAATGGTACCACATTGAGAACTGACGGTCTCTGCTGCTGGCAGGTTGGGCACCTGGCACCGGCAGAGGTTGTAGCCAGGTTGGTCTTGGTGAGTGAGAGTCTGTGTTGCTGAGCCTGTGCATAACCTCCATCCCTGCCACCGTGGCCACTTTGTGAGCCCATCGAGTACTGACAAGAGTGACTGGGGAAGGAGGCTGACTGGTGCCCACAGAACAGGTCATACTCTCCACTTATTAGACCACTTCTCTGCTGAGATCACCCTTTGGTGAACATTCACATGGGACACAACTATCTGCACATTTTCCACCCGTTCAGAGGGGGCCATCTGCAGACCTCTTATCCAGATCTCCTTGTCCTTAGTTTTCCAGTCATATTCCTTCCAAGACCCTGACCATCCAGCCAAACCTTTGGCCACAGCTCATGAACTGGTATATAATCACACATCTGGCTCTTTCTCCTTCTAAGCAAAATGAACAAAATGACGTTTTTGCTGATTGGATTTAGCAAAGAGCAAGAAGTTGCAACTACTCTAGACTTATTATTCGTGACATGTTTGTGTGTCAGATGGTGGGAAATAAATCTAAAAAATGCCTAAGGGCTTTCTACCTTAGTGAAGACTTTAGAAGTCCAGTGGTGTGGGGCTTGTCGAGATATCCTTCCTAGGGTGAAGGAAGAGTTGCATCTGACCCCTCCTAGAACCAGAAAAGAGGCACAGCACCTGGAGGGCCTCTTTGGACTTTGGAGGCGTTGGCTCATTAACTGTGAGTATAGTCAGGTCACTCAGGATGGCTGTTCTTGCTCTTTGTACACCCTCTGCTCGACCAGTCCCTCCCTCAGCTGCACCCTACTCACGTGAACGTGTTTGCCTCCTGCCCCAGCTAGAGATTGTTTTGGTCCTCAGGCTAGAACGGCTCTGCCTGCTAATTTATTAAAAGGAGACGTCTGCCCTCCTGGTGGTGGTTAATCTGAGAGGCTGTGAGGGATGTGCCCCAGCTGCTGGTTTCCCTGGTAACTGATGAGCCAACCTGATGTCAGTTCCCTCTATAAATGGTAGCCTCCTTCTTCCCTGAATAGCAAAGGCTGCCGCCATGCTTCGCCATCGCCTGCCGCGGACAGTGGGGTGTCGCTCCAGGGCCTCGCTTCAGACATGTAAGATCCCCCATCCGTTAAACCACTGTGTCTCTGTCCCCATTTCGGGGCTCTTCCTTTGGTCTCAAGGCTTGCAGGCTAGCGGGGTGCAGCCCAGAAATTGGCCAGCCAGCCAGGGGGCCGAGGAAACTCCCTTAAGCGTGGAGATGTTGGGAAGTAAGGGTGGGGGACAGGAAGTCGCAGGAGTGATCGGGAGGTGACCGTCCACTAGCATGGGGGGCCCTGTGGCATCTGACCACCACAAGGGGTCTTTGTCTTCCGTTATATTGATGATATCCTGTTAGCCTCAGGGTCTCTTTCTATTTTAAAACTATATTCAATACCTTGTAATAGCCTATAATGGAAAAGAATATGAAAAGGAACATATGGACATGTATAACTGAATCACTGTGCCGTACACCAGAAGTTAACACACCTTGTAAATCGACTATACTTCAGTGAAAAAGTAGCTGCTCCTGGAAACATACCTGACTAAGGCTAAGGTTTGGAGAGTGTTTGGCTCTAGATAGCCTTTCTCCCCCCAAAACAGTGTGGGAGCATAAATGAATACATTTGCATTTATTACCTTAGAACATAAGCACATGGTGTAAACACTGAGGAACAGTTTGAGCTTTTTGAATAGAATTGTTTTAGTTGACATAATAAGCAGTTCAAAGTATTATTTCATTGTAAAGTTTTGAATGGTGAAATTTTTAAAAATAATTTTTAATTATGGTAAAGTATACATAACATAAAATTTACCATCTTAACTGTTTTTATGTGTATGGTTCAGCAGAGTTAAGTACATTCATTGTTACACAACCAATCTCCAGACTCTCTTCATCATGCAAAACTCTATCCATTAAAAAACAGCTCCCTATTTCCTACTCCCCTCTCCCCGCCCCTGGCAACTGCCGTTCTACTTTCTGCTTTTATGAATCTGACTACTTTAGATAGATCGTGTAAGTAGAATCACACAGTATTTGTCCTTCTGGCTGGCTTATTTCACTTAGCACAGTGTCCTCAAAGCTCTCAAGTATAAGCAAGAAAAAGGGAGCCGCCCCATGCTCGCAGCTCATCTGACTGCCCGTGGATGGCTGATGAGTACGGAGAAAACACAAGGACCTGGGTTACCTACAAAATACAAGCATACCCCTGGCCCCTTCCCCCTGGACAATTACAGACACAAGCTTTAGGGGTATTAACTCAGGGACAGGCTTGTGAATTGGACGTGATCAGTTACTCAAAGGGTTTGGTTGGGGCCTTGGCAAAGGCAAGATAATGAGTATATTTGGGCTTCTGGCTGTGGCTGTGGAGGGGGCAGAGCAACGCTGCAGTGTGATGACCAATAGCGGTGTGCAGTCTGCAGCACATTACAACAGGTGGGAGACATTCCCAAAGGCCCACCCAAGTCGGCCAGCAATGCCAAAATCCACAGATCTGGGACAGCTGTGCGTGACATACAGGGCCGCCACGGACGTCCATGGTGACCAGGGAATCCACTTTACTGATCATGAAGTTCAGGAAGGGGCTGATTAAAAATGACACACACTGACATTTCCACCTGCCTCACGACCCCGCTGCTGCCGGGCTAATGGAAAGGATGAATGGACTGTTTAAACAACAATTGAAACGGTAACCCAATCTCTCAACATACAGGCCAGGAGGCCAACTCAAGCCCTGTGGACTGTAACTGAACATCCCCAGAGCAGTGCCTGCGCCGTGTGCACCCAGAGAAAATTCACCAGCACAACCCCAGGGTCAGCTGCCGACCACTGGAGGACCGCTGCCAGCCACCGGTCAGGACAGTCGCTCACCTTTGCTCCTGACACAGGATCTACCGCCAGGGGAACACATTATAAAATGGCCCTGGGACTGGCAGGTCAATGCCGGCAGGTTTGGGTTTGCCGCCTCACGGGGAATAGGATTAGAAAGGGGTTTACAGATATCACCTGTCTTCTACCCGGCCCCACTTAAGACTGCTAAGCTAATTAGTCCGGGCCCCTTACTGGAGAGGCACCAGAATTAATCCTGGGCTCTGTTCTAGCTCATCTCTGGGATTCGGGGAGGCTGCGGGGCTGAGCGGGGACAGGCGGTGCGCTGCTGTGGGTCAAGCCAGAGCCGCAGGTGGGGTGGTGTGTCTCACAGTGCTGCTGCTGCTTGTATTCTGCTTAATGGGCTTGGTCCCCCCTGTATGAGGCCTGTCAAACGTCTTACATTTCGTCCCTAGTCAGGGGAGGGAATCTGTTTGTGGACTGGGCGACCATGGCGGCCTCACTGCGAAATGAGTTTGATTGCTGGGTCTGCAGTGAGGTGCCGCTTGTGGTCCTCCCCTGGACTTCCGTGAGAACTGACCCGATAAGAGCCTGGCTACGAAGCTTGTCCGCCTCTTGGACTCCTGATACTCTTTAGCTGCTGTTGTCACTGTTGCGTCTGTGGCATCTGGTTGCAGTGCGCCTCTCCACATGGGGCCCCGGGGACATCTTGGAAGAGGGGTGGACCAGAGTTGTAAGGGTCGCGCAGGGTATGGAGAACAAACGCTCAAGATGCCCGTTCTTGCTTTTTTGTGCATCCCCTGCTCAACCAGTCCCTTCTTCACCTGCACCCTATTCACACGAACGTGTTTGCCTCCTGCCCCAGCTTGTGATTGTTCCGGTCCTCAGGCCAGAATGGCTCCACCCGCTAGTTTATTAAAGGGTGACATCTGCCCTCATGATGGTGATTAATCTGAGGGGCTGTGCAGGATGTGCCCCAGCTGCTGGTTTCCCTGGTAACTGATGAGCCAACCTGATGTCAGTTCCCCCTGTAAGTGGCAGCCTCCTTCCCAGAGTAGCAAAGACTGCTGTCACGTCCTGCCCGCCGTCTGTGTAGGCTCCCCCGTCCTATAAACCATGGGTGTCTCTGTCACTGCCTCCAGGCTCTTTCTTCGGTCTCGAGGCTGAGCCACAGCACTTGCAGGCTTGTGGGGTGCAGCCCAGCAGTGTGCTACTGTGGCCATCTACCTGGTGACCTGAAAGCTGGCAGTTTTCAAGTGGGGCCCAGAAAAAGAGAAGGCTCTGCAGCCGGTCCAGGCTGCCACCCGAGTGGCTCAGCCATGTGGACCCTGAGACCCAGTGGAACCAGAACAATGTTTGACAAACTTTCTGGGCATCATGGCCCAGGCATATCGACACACAAAATTAACCATCACAAAGGGACATTAAAAACTTTGAACAAGAAAGACATAGGCTTCACTCAATAGATTATTTTAGAAGTCAACAACTGGGAGGGCCTTTTCTTCAGAATTACAGTGATTTTAATGCTTCATATAAACCGAGGATTCTCTCAGCTGCATTTGTTAGAGCACCAATGTGTTTTTTACAATGTTGTGTTAGTTTCAGGTGTACAGCAAAGTGATTCAGTTATATATATTTTCAAATTATCTTCCACTATAGGTTATTACAAGGTGTCGAATAGTTCCTTGTGCTGTACAGTAAACCCTCGTTGCTTACCTGTTTTATATATAGTGGTGTGTATCTGTTACTCCCAAACAGATACTCCCTAACCCCGCTTCCCTTTCCTCTTTGATAACGGTAAGTTTGTTCTCTATGTCTGTGAATCTATTTCCATTTTGCAAATAAATTCATTTGTAGTTTTTAGATTCCACATACAACATATTTGTCTTTCTCTGACTTACCTCACTTAGTGTGATATTTTCTACACCCACCCACCCTGCTGTGAATGGCAATATTTTCTTTTTTTATGGCTGAGTAGTAATCCATTGTGTCTGCATATCACATCTTTATCTTTCCATCTGTCAGTGGACATTTAGGTTGCTTCTGTGTCTTGGCTATTGTAAACAGTGCTGCTATGAACACTAGAGTGCCTATAACTTTCTGAATTAGTTCTTGTCATCTCCGGATATGTGCCTAGGAGTGGGATTGCTGGACCCTATGGTAAATCTATTTTTAGTTTTTTAAGGAACCTCCATACTGTCCTCCATAGTGGCTCTACCAAATTATACTCCCACCAGCTGTGTAGGAGGGTTCCCTTTCTTCCACAGCCTCTCCAGCATTTATCATTTGTGGACTTTTTATTGATGGCCATTTTGACTGGTGTGAGGTAATACATCACTGTAGTTTTGATTTGCATTTCTCTTATCAGCAATGTTGAGCATTTATTCATGTGCTTGTTGGCCAACTGTATGTCTTTGGAGAGATACCTGTTTAGGCCTTCTGCCTGTTTTTTGATTGGCTTTTTTTTTTTTAAGGGTTTTTCCTTTTGGGTACTGAGTTTGTATATTTTGGAAATTAATCCCTTGTTGGTCTTATCGTTCAAAAATATTTTCTCTCATTCTGTAGGTTAGTCTTTTAATTTTGTTTACGGTTTCCTTTGCTGTGCAAAAGCTTTTAAGTTTGATCAGGTCCCATTCTGGGATTTTTCTTTAATTGCTTTTGCCAAGAGAGCCAATACATTTGAATGTGCAAACTGAAGAACACTGTCAACAAAACCACAAATTCCTTGACCACTCAGTTCAAACAACATAAATGCTGATAATTTATGATAATTTATAAATCTCACTACAATGTCTGCTATAATGGATTTGCTAAACTTAACAATCACGACACTATGCAACACATTTAGATTATTTTATCACACTGTGTATTCTGTCTTGGGATCAACTAACCTCTCAAATATTTGAAAGTTCTTATACACTAAGATTTACTCTTTGTGCTGTAAAGTTCTGTGGGTTTGACAAATGCTTAGTGTCTTGATTCACTGTTAAAGTATCACACAGAACAGTTTCATCACCCTAAAAAAAATCTCCTGTGCTTCACTCAGTCAACTCCCCTCAGACCCCCGTCCTTGAACTCCTGGCAACCACTTACCTATTAACCATTTCCATGGTTTTGCATTTTCCAGAATGGCATAAAATTAGAATTACACAGTAGGTAGATTTTTTCTCAGACTGGCTTCTTTGACTTAGAGGAATTGCATGTTGCTATGTCTTTTCATAACTTGATAGTTAATTTCTTTTTATT